TATTAACACTATAAATTTAATAAGAAAAATAGACCCCTAAGGGTGTGTTTGAAATAACATTTTAAAAGTACTTCTAAAAATTATTTATCATAAATATTTTAAAAAAAAATATTGTGTTTAAAATCGCCCCACCACTACCTCTATCCCCGTCGTCACCACCATTATTGTTGCCCCCCCACTACCACCATTGTCGATGTCACCACCATCGTCATCGCCACCATCACCACCATTGTCGTCGCCACCACAACCACCATCATCGCTTACCTCACCACCACCACGGTCATTACCACCCACCACAACCATCACCGTCTCCTACCACCACCACCTCTTACCCCCACTACAAATCGATGTTTAAATTTTTTTATCTTTTCTCTATATTTGTGATTTGATTTTGAATATAAATACAAATATGTTTATTGTTTATCATTTTTTATTATTTTTTGCCTTCAGACACAAGCAATAACTAATCTATATAATAAAACAAGAGTGTGTTTGAATTTTATTTCAGTCATATTTTCTCCCTCAAAACCATCACTAATCATTTATCTCACCCATCATCATTTTGTCAGACTAAAACTTCAAATCACATCACTCATTTTTATCACATATTTAATCATTTTTATATTTTTCCCTAAAAATATCACACCATTCATTTTATCATATATTTAATATTTAATTAATTTGTAGTTAATATATTTTTAAAAAATTTAATATAGTGAAATCAATTTTTTGAACACTCGAATTTTATTTTTTTTCGTGCCTCCAGGCACAGGTTATGACTATCTATATAATAAAATAGGAGTGTATTTGAATTTTATCTCAGTCATATTTTTTCTCTTAAAACCATTACCAATCACTTACTTCACCCATCATTATTTTGTCAGACTCAAACGTCAAATCACATCACTCATTTTTATCACATATTTATTTATTTTTTAAAAAAAATATCACATCACTCATTTTTATCATATATTTAATTATATTTAATTAATTATAGTTAATATATTTTAAAAAAATTAATATAGTGAAATCGATTTTTTGAACGCTTAAATTTTATATTTTATCGTGCTTTCAAGCACGGATTATAACTAGTATATATATATAATTCAAATAAAAGTATTAGTATTAGGTCAGAAATTGTCTGAGCCAAGCCGAGCCGAGCCATTAAAGAGACGTGTTTGAGTGAAGTCTTAAGATTTTTGGGGACCAACATAACACGTGTCGAGTATACAAATAGCCACGCTGTGTTGCCTTACACCACTCAATAATTATTCTTTAATCCTGGACTTCTCTCTACCCACAATCGAACACGTAGCCCGTTTTCTAGCCTTGCGTTATGTAATTAAAAAACTCATGCATGAAGCCACACTCTCCGTCTCCAAGGCATTTGTTTGACACAAAAGCTGCGTTACCAACTTGTCACAGGCAACGTGCCAAATTTGCATATGCCGCTTTCCTACTTTAGACTTAAAATATAGTATAAGAAGTACAACAGATTTACATGTAATTGAGGGCATTCACCTCATCTTACCAATAAAACTTATGATATTTTATGTTTTTATATTTTTTTAATATTTTACAGAATAATTTTTTTGATCAAATCTTTTTAATTAATTGTACGTTTGGTAACGTTGTTATTTTTATTTTTTTTTGATAAAAATTAAAAATATAAAATATGTTTGATAGTTATTTATATTTTAAAAATTATAAAATAAAAAATAAAAAACTTATTTGATATTATACCAAAAATTCATTACCCAAATTCCACCAACCAACACCACTAACCACCCAAAACCACAACCTAACCCCACAATGGAAACCCACCATCCAACCCCACTAACCACTCCCACCATCGAAAGTCTGAAACCCAACAAAACCCACCCACCCCACCACCACCACACAAAAATCCACAACCCACCCCCACCACCACTGAAACCCATAACTCACCCCCACCGCTGAACCCACCAAAACCACCACCACCACTGAAACCAAACTGAAACCCACTCCCACAACTACTAAAACCCACCCCCTAATCCACCACCACCACCCACAAAACTCAATCATGTAACTCCCCAACAAAACCCATTAGAGAAGGGTGATAGAGAGAGTGTTGGCTCTTTTGTTGCTCATCCGTAGCTCTTTGTCGTTGCCTTGTGAGAGAGATAAACGAGAGTCAAAGAGATGAACAAGGGGAGGAAAAAGAGGTAAGAAATATTTTTTTATAGTGAGAATGAAAAAAATCCTTTTTTTTGCTGCTAATGGAGTTCGAAGGCTATACCTCATTAAATGGGTTAAAGGGACGTGCGTGTTTTCCTTTTTTTTTTTTGTGTTTTCAAAAACACCTATTTTGATGTTTTTTAAATTTAGGGTTGTTAACAAAATAGACCAACAAAAAAAATAAATAAAAACACTCTCCAAACGCGTTAGTATTTTTTTTAACAAAAAAATGAAAACAAAAACTGAAAAAAACACAAACAAATGGTTACCAAACACTATCTAAGTGTACTATTTGTATTCAAATTTCACCCAAAATAAATGGGTAGAAATTCAGACAATAAATAGGGTGAACACATATCTTTTAATTATTAATTTTTTTAAATTTTTTAACAATTCAATTTAGTAACTTGTGTCAATTAACCAACACAATAAATTAATAACACTAAAAAAATACATTAAATTCGATAATGTATACACAATTACAATAAAATACAACAAGAAAATCATAACACACACACATATATTAATAAACACACACACACACACACACACATTATCTTTGCTTCTAGCTTACATGGTTTTTATGGACTTTTTTTTTTTGCTTGAGGAAAAAGGGGTGGAGGCAAGGAGAGCGCTTATAAACCACGTTGAATCTTATTGATAGAATTATGAGATCTTTAACCACGTCTGTTATTTTTATCAGAAACGAACTTAGTTAGGCTAGTATGACAATCAACTACCAAACCCCAATATTTGAACCTCCAACTTCGGGGTGATTTTTATAGCCCTTGAACATATGATTTTCTTGTTTGAAAGTGAGGCGTTGAGCTCAAGTTTTATACATATTTGGGTAACATATTTATACATTTTTTTTGTACCACATTTATTATTTTTTGGAAATTATAAATAACATATGTAAAATATTTTTATTATTTTAATTTTTTTAATTGACTAAATAATTCGAAACAATATGGAAGGATAAGAGTGTAAGTACTGTAAATTTTTAGTACAATCCCAAAAAATAAATGTGGGTACAATAACTTAATCTTTTAAGTTTGTGATTATGAAAAATAGAATAATAGAAAATAATAAAAATTTAGATGAATTAACATTCATTCTAACTCACTAAAATTAAAAGGAAAATTAGATAGAAATTTAATTATGTGTGTTAAAATGTATGCTATTTATTTTTATACTATTTAATATATATATATATATATATATATATATATATTATATACACGTTAATGTTATATATAGATACAATGGTAAAATATGTATTTGTATATTTTTTTATCGTTCTATTTTTTTATGTTATCAAATACAAAAAAAATCAATTATTTTTACTTTTCATTCCTTATAGTAAACACAATGAAGGGAATGAGTTATCTCAAGTGGTAGTTTAAGTAGTAATAAGATAAGTTGTAAATTCAGATGTACTGAACTCGAATTTTAACAATTTCATAGATCTGTCATGAATACCTCATTCATGGCGTAGATTACTTGACTTCAATTGGACCAAGAAGGAGATTAATTTGAATTAAAGATTAATCAAGGTTTCCCCCAAATTCAAAACTTAAAAATGTATTACATACAGGATAAATAAATACTTTTTGGAAAAAAATATATTTACATTCGTGCTAGGTCCAACATCAATGCACATTGTGAATGAACAATGTTCAAGGTGACATCCATTTTGAGGATGGGGATGATAATTTTTGGCACGACAAAAAATTAGCAGTTAGTATTGATCAATTTTTGATAAAAAAAACTCAAAAAATGATACTATCAATTGACACAAATATGAACGAGTTAGGACGTAAGTATTGATACTAATTAGGACAAACCCTTTTCCAATATTGTATAAAAAAATGTCTAATGTTGTGTTTTAATTTTTTTTCTATTTCTTGTTAAGATATTGTATGAATCCCTCATAAAATTAGATGTTTTTTCATAGAACAATGTTATTATAACGTAATGATTATGCCACTATACTATCAACAAGTCTCAACATTATCAATTTAATGATTATAATACATTATGTATTTAAATTATATCCCAATAGCATTAATTTTTTTTTTACATGATTTTCACTAAAAATGTGAATCAAGAGAATTATAAGTTGTAAATGGCCTATAAGTGGTACATTTGGTTAAGCAAAAGATAGGTTATAACTTTGAATCAGTGATGGGACCTACAGATTTAATAGCCATATGGTATAAGTTTTAGTACACATAACCTTACTCTTGATTAAAATCATAAATTCAGGATTGATCGACAATAAACAAAAATACAAAATGACACGATTCGATAGCTATAATTTGGATTAGTGGACTTTTTTTCCTGGGAATTTTGTGCTATTTGGATCATCCAGCCTTCGCACTACTGGACCTCTACTACCAAGCCCGGCCCAAATTAGCAGGCCAGCCTTTTGTGTATGCCACCAATCGTCGATCGCGTGAAACTTAGACACTCGAAAATAGGATAAGTGATAGGGCGGCACACACTTTTTCTCTTGCCTCTTTACTGTTTAGTCTCAAAGCCCTCACTGTGCGCGTATCATAGTAAGCTTTCTCTCTGTTTTCTATCTACTTTCTCTCTTTCCAAACATACATGTTGGAGAAACCCATTACAAATCTCTTTCTCTACTACAGTTCTTTTAGTTCTCACATATAATCTACAGCATATATTCTTTTCATTTAATCAGTAGTAACTAGCAGGGATAGAGTTTCTAATATGAACTTCTGAGTATTATCTTTGGTTGATTACAAGTAGGGTTTAGTATGGAGTTAATGGTGCCTACAAAGCATACACATGAGGGTTTTTGCTCATTTCATTGTATTCATAGGGATAGCAAAAAGAATCATACTTTGAGGTCTAGAGCTAGGGTTAGGTTTTCTTCAAATTTCAGTTCCGGGAAGGTCTTTGTAGGTCGCGAAGCTCGCTTCCCTGTTCTCTCTGTTGGTAATGGTATTGAGTGTAAAAAACAACGAGGGTCTCCGAAACAGAGGCGAAATCGGGTATTAGCTGTTTCAAAGATTGAAAATTTTAGCTCTAATGGTCGATTGTCAAGTAATGAGAGAAACCCTCAAGGGCAGTTTAGTGGGGGTCTTCTATCCTCGAGTGAAGTGCATTCCTCGCATAATTTTGAAGAGTTTGAGAGTAATAAACATCTCCGTCGGTTGGTTAGAAATGGAGAATTGGAGGAAGGGTTTAAGTATCTCGAAAACATGGTTTATCGCGGTGACATTCCCGATATCATTCCATGTACTAGTTTAATTCGGGGGTTTTGTCGGATTGGTAAGACTAAGAAGGCAACTAGGGTTATGGAGATTCTTGAGGAATCCGGGGCTGTTCCTGATGTTATAACTTACAATGTGTTGATTAGTGGGTATTGTAAGTCGGGGGAGATAGATAATGCTTTAAAGGTATTGGACCGGATGAGTGTTGCTCCGGATGTTGTCACATATAATACGATCTTGCGAACATTGTGTGATGGTGGGAAATTGAAGCAAGCAATGAAAGTTCTCGATCAGCAGTTGCTAAAAGAGTGCTATCCTGATGTGATCACTTATACAATTTTGATTGAAGCGACTTGTAAGGAAAGTGGGGTGGGGCAGGCAATGAAGCTTTTGGATGAGATGAATAGAAAGGGTTGCAAGCCTGATGTAGTTACCTATAATGTCCTAATCAATGGGATATGCAAGGAAGGGAGGTTGGATGAAGCAATCAAATTCTTGAATAATATGCCGTCTTATGGTTGCCAACCTAATGTAATTACCCATAATATCATTTTGCGTAGCATGTGTAGCACAGGGAGGTGGATGGATGCTGAGAAACTTTTAGTGGAGATGCTTCGAAAAGGCTGTTCTCCCAGTGTCGTTACCTTTAACATCTTGATAAATTTCTTGTGTCGGAAGGGGTTATTGGGCCGAGCCATTGATATTTTGGAGAAAATGCCGAAGCATGGTTGTACTCCAAATTCCCTGAGTTACAATCCACTGCTTCATGGATTTTGCAAAGAAAAGAAGATGGACAGGGCAATTGAGTATTTGGAGATAATGGTCTCCAGAGGGTGCTACCCTGACATTGTGACCTATAATACTTTGCTCACAGCTTTATGCAAAGATGGAAAAGTTGATGTAGCAGTTGAGATCCTTAACCAGCTTAGTAATAAAAATTGCTCTCCTGTTTTGATCACTTACAATACAGTGATTGATGGTCTTTCAAAGGTGGGAAAAACAGAATGTGCTCTAAAGCTGTTGGATGAGATGCGAGGAAAGGGTCTCCAACCCGATATAATTACCTACTCTTCGGTTGTGGGAGGGCTTAGTAGAGAAGGAAAGGTAGACGAAGCTATCAAGTTCTTCAATCAGTTAGAAGGATTGGGTGTGAGGCCCAATGCCGTCACCTACAATTCTGTCATGTTGGGGCTTTGCAAAGCTCGCCAGACGGATCGTGCCATTGACTTCTTGGCTCATATGGTATCAAAGGGATGTAAACCTACTGAAACTACATATACAATTCTGATTGAAGGCCTATCTTATGAAGGTTTAGCCAATGAGGCTTTGGATTTACTGAATGAGTTATGCTCCCGAGGAGTCGTGAAGAAAAGTTCTGCTGAAAAGGTGGTGGTCAAGATGTAGCTTGCAATGCATGCTGTCACTTGCTTTGTGATGACCCATGACTAGTGCCTTTCTTCGGTTCCATTTGCTTGGATTATTCACCATCGATGAACTTTTAAGAGTGTAAGCTCTTCTTATCAACTTTATCAAGCTTATTTTCCTCTCATAACAATTTTGTGATGTAGTTCACTTAAGGGTTCTCACTCTGTTTGGATTTTAAACATTTTTTGTAAATTTATGACCTTGTATACATACTTGGGTCTCTCTCTGGCATGTATGATTCTCGATGATCGGTTATATATTCTTGTGCGTCTCTTTGTTATCTATACGCTATGTATGCTGATTCGAGGTTGCTTCTGTGCTACCAGTTGCAACTCTTGTGATGATAATTGCTTGTACTATGATAGAGTAATGAGTTCTGTAACAGGATGATTGGTGCTGATGTAGTTCATTGCTTGTCCTTTTAGCGTGTCTATTATTGTTTAACCTAACCATCACATGTTTCATTCTACAGATCATTTGTAAAAGAGTGATATTCATGTTAGAGTAAAAGAGCTGTACACTTATAAACTGGCATGAATATGAGGGGACGCGATGGCCTAGTGGTATCTGGGTGAATCCCGGCATGTCGGTTCGGGTTTGATACTCATTTCCCTCCCCTCTCCCATATTTTCATGCTTATTAGGTCTTGTGAAAAAGTAAACTAAGATCAGCATGACAGAAAATACAACTTGAAATTGTCAGTTGTTCTGTAATGAAGAAATTAGTGTCTTTAATCTCATAGACCCACATATGGTTAATGCTATGTAAGTTGAAAAATTAAGCCCAAAATTTCTTTTCATTTCTTTCCTCTTTGCTTGGGTGTTCTTATCTTTTGAGGGTAGGAACAGAACTAGGATTTAGGCTTGGGAGGTGAATTCTTTCGTCAGAATTTCAAGGGGGTTTCTAGGAAAATTCATAAAAGTTTGGGGGAAAAACTTATTTAATATAAGGGAATTGCATCGCGAATTCTTTGTCAAACTAAGGAATTGTTCAAAGCTACGCCCCAACGGTCCAAAAACTTTCGTGGATTCTTTGCCAATGCTACTACAATGACCAAAAAGATTGTACTTGTGTTATGACGTTGAGCAATGTTATTTTGATTTAAAAATAAAATTTATAATATAAAATAGAACAGATGTTAATAAATTTATTTAACGGTCTTAAATAGACTCATTTAATGGTCACTAATATCTCTCTCAAAATCATTTACATTGCACCGTGTCTTTAGGGACCAGTTATCCCTATTTTATTGACATAATGACACGTCAAGTAGGCTTATCAATAGATTGAATTGTATTTCGAATTTGATTAGCCATATATAGATTAATATTTTTTATCAATCATTTGAATTCGAATCTGAATTTGATATTTTATATTTTACGAATTTGGATTTGGATATACCTATATTCGATTTGATTATGATCCAAGCAGAATTATTTATATATTTTTATATAAATATTTTTAAAAATAAGTGATTATCTAAAGAAATATAGTTAAAACTTAGATATAATTTGTTAAAATTTAATTAATTAAGTTATTCAGACAGGATCGGATTTTGAATTGCTATCGAATTCGGATATGGACTACGAAAATAAAATTCGTCAAATTATCGGATCAGACTTTTAAAATTGGATTCGAATTCGAATGAGCCAAAATTCGATTCAAACCCGATCCATTGACGGACTTATGCTCCATTTGGTATGATGGAAAAATGGAAGGATGAAAAGTTGAAATGATAGAAAGTTGGAGGGATAAATAAAACATCATGTTTGGTAAGGAAGGAAAATAAAAAAGATGGAAAAGTGGATGAATTAACTTTTCTTCCAACTCACCCAAATCAATATCTCTAAAATCGGAAGAAAAGTGGATGAAAAATTAATTATTTGTATTGAGGTATATCTTATTTGTCTATATATATATATATATATTATGTATAAATTGATTTCATACAAAAATATAATAATAAAATATGTATTTATATATATATATATATATATATATATATATATATTAAAAAATTTAAAAAAAATTAAAAAAAAAATATTTTTTTCATCTTAACTAGAGGTGAAATTTTTTGACTCAACACGATGACCCGACTCAAACTTGACATGAATTTTTTGACACGAACTTGATTAACTTGAATACGAAAATAAATAGGTTAACTCGTAACTCGACACGACATAATTATTTAAATGAGTTGAGTTAAGTGTGAGCAATGTTCAAGAAAAATTTATAATGACTCAACACGAATCTGACACGACACAACTCGATTGTCACCCCTAATCTTAGAGAGGAAAAACATATTAAAAAAGTAGAAAAAGGGAAACTTAGAGAGGAAAAAAATCTAATTTTTCGTGCGTCAAGTAAGAGTAAATATTGGGCATAACAGTTATACTATTTTAGTATTGTCACGGGATTTAATTATTCAATGCAAAAATTAAAAAATAAATAAAATGGATCCCATTATCCTACATTGAAATAATTACATATTACTTGAATGAGTGATTATTGTAATTTTATGGGATTCACTTATTTATTTATTAAAAATAATTATTTATATAATATTATTATAACTGTTACGTTGAATATTTTTTAGTCACGGAGTGCAGGACAGCAAGAGCAGCCTACGGTAATGTAAACAAGATCTTCCTTGGTATGTCAAAATCAGGTGAAAAGGATGAAAGTGAGATATTGTTTAATATATTATTTTTTATTTTTATTCTTGATAAATCAGTTCTCCTAAATTTAAGACAGACTCATGTAAGTGAGTTATGAGAACAAAAAAAAAATGATTAATGTTATTAGGATGTAAAAATTTAATTTAATTTGTTAAAATAATAATTCGACTTCATTGTAATCATTGACAAATTATAATGTTTGATGAGATCCACTACTAATTCAATGACTATAATAAACTATATCAATAAATTAGGTTTCTTTAGCGGTGCTCGAAAAATATTGAAAAGATTTGAATCTAAAAGAATTGGAGTAATGATATTAGGACAATTCTTCGTTGAGACACTTTTGATACGGTACTGATATCGTATCGAAAATTATAATTTTTTAAGGTTAAATTATAATTTTTTTGAGGTGTAAATTATAATTTTAAAAGATATAATTGATCATAGAAGATTATAATTGATACTGCGAGTTTATGATCGATTATAGGTGTCATAATCGATCATAACCTTCTTTTAAAATAATTATAACTTCTCTTTTTAAAATTATAATTTTATCTTAAAAATTAGTAATCAACGATAGGTTACCCATTTTTTGATTTGGGTACATAGACTTTCCCATTGTATTGTAGCCCAAAAATTAACCTAATTTGGATGTGACACTGAGAATCATTATACTTCCTCTGGCTCTCGTACACACAAACACAAGGTAACGAACAAAAGCACAGTGACCATAGGACCTTTACGATATCTGTTTTTCTTGCCTACCACCACACGTTGAGGTTTTAACAGAAAACAACAAAGGAAGAGGCTAGAGATCAGACCCCCCAAAGCTTCTATGAAGAATACTATTACATTTTGTTATACTTCGGAAAATTTTCTGTAAAACTTGAAGCTATGGAGAAATATTCCTCTGCAAGAGACAACGCAAAAGAAGACGATGATGATAAAGAAGAAGAAGAAGAAGAAGAAGGAGGAGGAGGAGGGTTGTTTTCGTGCTGGGGACGTCTCAAACTAATGCTTCCATGGAAAAGAAGAAAAAGAAGTCAGACAAGGCAAAGAAATGTGAGGGTTAGTTACAGAAATGTTACTCGCAAATCCAAAGGAACAAGACAAGTTGGTGGTTTCAGGTATGACGCCTTAAGCTATGCTCAAAACTTCGACGAGAGTTGCTGGGATGATGGTAACGAGGACTCCTCTTATCGTGGGTTTTCCTCTAGATATGCCGCACCTTCATCGAAATCAATTCAAGGATCAAATGAACTATGACAGGTGTGATCCTATAAATATTTTTGTTGCATGAAAGAAAGGTGGTGTATATGTAAGTTAATTTACAAGTACGATATTGTAAGAAATATATTTCATTTATTTGTTGGTCATTTATATTGAAGTATAAATATTTAAGTTATATACTATCCAAAGCTTTAAATTTTTGAAATAAATGATTGTTTAATTTGATATTAGAGTGAGAAGTCTTATGTTTGAATCTCGCTGTGACCTTAATTATTAAAAAAAAAATTCACGTGCTAGACCCAAAAATTTAGTCTACAAAAAATAATCTGTTGGAACCTAATTGTTTTGAGCGTAGGAAGGGTTATGTTGATGCAGTAGCAAAGTCTGTCTTATCTCATAATCTTTTGGAATTGATACCCTTCCTAATTTGACGAATATTATCGGCATCATAGTTTTTCATACCAAAAGTCCCCCTTTCCGATCCTAATGGAATTGAAAATGAAAGAAGATTCTATTTCCTCTATCTATGAAGTAGAGTGATCATCCTTAATCTCCTCTTCCCTATCTCTCCCTTTTTTGCCTTTGGCTATTACCAACTGGCAATGCTTAGCCCAAAATATCTCAATTTTTTCTTTCAATGCAAGTTGATTAATCTGAAATTGAGGTTTTTAGATGTTTACGTATGATTTTACTTCGGCTTTCAATTATTGCTTGATAATCGTAGCAAAGTGTGCGGGCTTGATCCTGCACGATATATATAAAATATTGGGAACAGATCTCTCCCCTGGTGAACTTTGGGTGAGTCGATTGAGTGGCCAAACACACTGCTCGAAACAGCTTACGATCCTGGGAAAGGAGGAACGATCCTGTACGTGGGAAAGGTATTTCCTGGGACAAAAGAGAACAAGTTAGAAGGGCGCCGGAGTGTTTTCCGGCGTATCCCCTCCGACGGTCTAGTCAGTCTTTGAATGAGAGAGAGGAAGGAGAAAACACTGAGAAGGATATTTCGTAGTAGAGAGTTTGTGATTGCATACCCCTTTGCCTTTTTTTGGGAGGGGTATTTATACC